TTTTTAAAAAATGAAGAAGTATAAATTTATGATTGGCAACATTATTTTTAATTATAAAATAAGTTATATTTAAAAGCATCCACTTTTTGAACAATAATTGCAATTTTTATAACACTTTCTATTAACTTATGCAAGAGGGTTCATTGGAAATACACTAACATTTAATATTAACAGAGTATATCAAATAGTAGTGTTGTTCTTACCTTTGCAGTCCCTCATAAGAATGTAAGATGTGTTTTGTTGGAGAAATACAGAAACTCCCTTTAAAAATATAATATGTTGAGAATATAAAGAAAATACAACCTATATTTGATATGTGAGAGCTAGTTTTTAGTTTGAAGATCTAAAAGTTATGGCTGAATTTAAATCCTAGCCTTGACTAACACTGACCAAATTTCATTTCTGTATGTCCTCAACATTTTTTTTTAAATTCATGCAATGTGTATGGTCACAAATTATTTTGCAATTAAATGCATAAGAGTACTGTGATAAAAATGATATTAAAAAATTCTTAAGGCACTATTCACTAAGGTTAGAAATAGATTCATTATTCTTGAAGTATGTATATATCAATCTGTTTTCCCCTTCTTTCTTTCTCACCTTGTTTCTCTTTCCTCCTTCCTTTACTCTCCCAAACTTGTCAGGTAGACAGATAGAGATAAAGCACAAATATCTGCACATGTTACAGGGAAAAGGAGATTATATAGCTTACAAACTCTCATAAACAGCTTGATATAATTAGGCCTTGTAAATTTCATGGTCTAATAGCAGCCAAAGATTGTTTATTAGTTATATTTAAGACTCACCATGGATAGTTTAATCTGTGGTTTATCATCATGTAGAAAGTAAAGCAAACACCACTGTTAATTTACATTATTTCAGAAAAATTTGGTTGATAGTCAGACATCTGCTTTGACCAGAATGAATTAAACTAACAACAAAACACAGTGTCCCAAAGCATCTTAATGGCACTACATTTCTGACTTTGAATAAGAACCTACACTCTGGTAGTATTATTGGTATCCAAAAAACATTGTAAAACATATGTTTTAGGTGACACTTGTATATGTCAGGTAGTTGGCCTTATAATTTTTTAAATACAGAATCATGCCTTTTAAAATGACTAATGCAAATAAAATGATGACTGGGTTAGGAGATAGAAGAGAATAAACTTTAGAAGTATTTTTTTCTGTTGTCCTATTCTAAGAAGATAGTTTATCCTGTTTTGAGAAATTATCTTAATTTGTTTGTCTCTTTCTGAGTAATCAATGAAGAGGTATTTATTGGATATGTAATTGACTTTTTAAATGGGAGAATGATATTGGTAACACATTTATGATTAACTTATTGATGCTTCTTACATTTGGGAATAGAACAATTGCAGAAAAGAATAGCAATCTGCCCTTATGGCTTAGCACTACTTCTTTAGGCTGTTGAGATCAAGAAACTTATTGATTCAGTAAGTCTGCATTTTACAAATAACATTATGTTGCTTTTAGTATTTGAAAAAAAATAATGTAGAAATAATTTAAATGACATATATGTGAATTGTATGAATGAAGCAAAAGACAAGTCAAGGTCTGTGTTATATGACAAGTTCTCCTTTGAATTCTAATATATACTTGACATTGAAAAGATTTTAGTATTCAAATAAAGATGTTGTGTGGTCAGAATGCATTTAGTTTTTCAACCCTAGGGCATATCTTTTGTTATAACACTTTTAAAAAAAATAAGATGTATAGATCCCATGTATTCTGATTAGATTTTATGTTTAAAAGAGAAATTGAGGTATATTTTAAAAATCAAACAAGAGTGACCTATCAAAATTACTAACTTCACAAGTTCAATGTTATTTGGAAGATGTTTCAGATAAACCACATTATTTTTCAATAACAGGAATACTTGGTCATTTGTAAGCTGATTTACTTTTTTTTTAGTGTGATAAAATGTTTCTCTAGTTTTGTCTAATAATCTGACATGGTCTTCTCTTAACCAGTAACCACATGTTGAATTGTGTTCAAATGATACTTAGTGGCCAGATTGATAGAATATTATGAGATGGAATTGTTTCAATATTGCACAATGAACTGGGGCAGGAATCATGCAAATTATTAAGGTAGGTAAATGGGAAAGAGAGAAAATAGACAAAGCTTTGAGGAAGCTAGCATGGAGCCAAAAACAACAGCAGGTGTGGCCATATGGCAATCAAATTAGAAAATGCATTCTTGCCACACAGTCTTCCAGGAGATAGTAAAGCCCAGACAGCCCTCATGGAGGGCTGATTTACTTAGTATATTTTAAGTATTTCATATTGCCTCTCTCACTATTCAATTCTGAAGGGAATTTAAATGTATTATACCAAATAGATATTGAAGAATTTTCTTAAAGAATAAAATAATTTCTAATTTCACTTTCACATTTAGGGGATATCATTATGCTGAAAACACATTTTCAAATAGAGCATTTGCTAAGCTGAGGTTGTTTTCAAACAAAGATTTGTATGGCCACAATTTAATGATATTATTTTATATAAACATAATTTGGATAATTTTGAAATTTTTGAATTCTTTAGTCACTAATATTTTAATTAAAGTTATTTGTATAAGTCCTTAACCTGTGAAATAACACTTTTCAGATCTTGAAACATATTTTTCTATAGAAAGAATTTACTAAAAATATGCTTCATTTCTCATGTTTCCTTTCCAAAACTTGTTTGACTAACAGACAAGGGCTAGCCTATTAGCATTTATTCTTAAGTGTATTATTAGTATTGTATCATGTTGCTATAATTTCAGCAACATTGTTGTGCTGTGTGTGTATGTGTGGGTATGTGTATGTAGTCTAATTTGAGAAAATGTCCCTACTTTTTTTTTTGAGAACCCAGAGACATCCATGAAGTTCTGCCTATTCTCCATTAGAGATATTATATCACTCAAACACATACACATACCCTTTTGATAGAGTGGTATAATGTAATATATCCTTAGTAGTATATGGTAGAATGAAGACAATGATCATATTTCCACTTTAAGTCATCCAATTTGTTTCTGCCTGTAGGCAGCACCACACTTCTGTTTTCTATGACCAACTTTTTTGGACGCTACCACAATAAAAGGATACTGATTCTTTAAACAAATGAATGCTTAATAACTCATGTATTTATTGCTTCACTAAATGCATTTTCTTAAGCACAATTATTATGTTTATTTAGAATGAAACAAATTATTCATGTAAAACCTATGAATTGGTAGTCTCTTATTGGAATGCCAATTTTACATCTCTTGAAATTAGTTTACATGTATTTAACTTAATAGAGGAAGGCAAGATGTTGTTTTGAAATTGACTTTTCATGAGTCCCCTCCCCTTCCTTATTTTGGCTTAAAACCTGGCTTTTAATTTTTTCTATAAAAATTTAAGAGTTATAGAAAAGTGAAAAACATATAACCGGAATAAAGACCACTGACCCCATAATTCAGATTTTAAAATGTTTGTTTGGCATATATACTTACAATTAGCAGTAGAGTAATCCCTATGATAATGCCAATTTGATCTACTTCTAATCCTTTCTACTCTCATTAAGCAATGACAACTAACATGACTTTGATTTTTTTTCTTTCCAATAAACTATTGCAACGTATGTATCTATCAAAATTATAAAATATTAGTGGGTAGTATTCATATGTATAGTGTGTATGTATGATATGGTCTATATATGCACATATATACGTGTGTGTTTATCTGTGTATTTAATATGTATATGGTATAGATTCTTCACCTTACCTTTTTTTTTCACTCAACTTTTTTTTTTCTTTTTTTGATGTTGTTAAGGATTGAACCCAGATCCTAGCACATGCTAAACAAGCATTCTACCACTGAGCTACATCCTCAACTGCTTACTCAACTTTTAAAATTCACTGTGTTGACATGTAGATCACTTCTTTTTTAAAACTGTTTTATAACATTTCATCATAAATAGATAACAGCTTATCAATTAATTTATGAATAGGTATTTATAGATTCCTCTCTTAATACCTTTTCTGGTATTCTATTATTGCTTAGGTTTGAGTAACATTTATATAATCACAGGAATATTGAAGTCCTTAGGATTTGAAGGTTTAGACCACATAGCAAAACACTCTTGAATATGTATTACTGGAGATGTTTTCTTTTTAATTATTCCTCAATATAGCAAAATGGCAAATAATTTAAGATATTATTTTTAACATCAAATGTAATTTGTTCAAATTTTACATTAATCTTTCTTATAACTAGTCACTTCCACTTTGTCTTCCTGTCATCCTGAAGAATGAAATGTAATTTCCCAGAGGCTTTAAGAATTGGAGGAGTATTAAATGTGGCTGAAATTAAGTGATTAATAATTTACTTTTAGACCATGAATCAACTTCATGGGATGCTAAGGATCATTTGCAACCCCAGAAGTATGGGCAGTAACAATGCGCTTTTTAAGACTAGAGAACTTTCAAAGGTTGACTGCCCAACCTAATTAAACTTCAATCTTCTGAAACCAAATTTATTTCTTTTTTGTACTGAATTTCCTCAGATCTTCTTGACAGGAAAATGTCACTTTGCCTGACAGCTGATAGACAGGTTATGTAGCTCCGTAATTGGAGAGAAAAGGATAGTTTAAAGCTACTTGTCTTAATGGCTATATGTATGGCTTTTTCTTTCCTTTTTTTCTTTTCTTTTTTTCTTCCTTTTTTTTTTTTTTTTGAGGTTTCTATGACAGACACAAAAGGCCTTAGCAAAAAGGCCCACTGCCATTTTTTTCTGCTTCCTCCAGGAGTAATTATCTTACTCCATCAATAGTGCTGTCAGAAATTGGGCACATAATTCAGCATTTAAATGAACAAGCAATGTAATATTTCCTGTCTCCCAGTGGAATGCTTTGCAGCTCACATTCTTCTCTGTCACTTATTCTCTCTTGATGTATGTCCCATGCCCAGTCCTTGAATGCCTCTCTCCCTTGTGTTTCATTGCAGATGTTGGCTCCGACTTGACACCTACTTCATTTGGAGTTTTATAGGACCAGCAACCTTGATAATTATGGTGAGAACTCCTAATTAACTATGTGTTTCCCAGGTCAAGAAATAAAACTTTCACTATCCCTATACTAACTATGTTTAATTTACATAGGTTAATTTGGGGGAAAGCATGTACTTATTTGACCCTATATAACTCAAGCAATTAGACAGTCATTATAGTCTGCTTGTATATTATAAAATAGTTCATCAGAATCAGTAGGAAAAGAAAACAAGCATTTGCAAGAGTTTATATCATGTATTGCTACTCAGAAGTCCAATTCATCATAATCCCTTCGATTTTTATAGATAAAGAGTGATGGCTACAAAGGTGACCACAGATTTTTTTGTATTCTTTTTCTTTAAGATAATTTGATAATTTGAATTGAGAATGGGCAAGAATTGGAAAAGTAGGATAATACCAGACAATTCCTTCCAGTTTTGTTTTTATATAAACTTTTAAATCTTTAAAATTCAGAAGGATTTTATTTAAAAATGGTACAACTTAATTAGAAATGCATCCTAGAATAATTCTTTCTTTTTATTTTTAGTTTCATGATATCATGATATCTTGATTTCTAATATTTATATTACTTTAGATAAAATTATCGGTATCATTGTTTACAAAAATACAAAGTTACTCAATTTTGGAAGTAAAATATTAGCCCTACAACTGAATAAAATATAGTTCTACAATTTTTTTTATCTGAAACCTTTAAGTCCAGATGTATTTTGGAATTTAAAATGTTTCAGACTTTGGAAAGGCAATATGGTACATATAGTGCATATTACATGACATCTCCAGTGGACATTATGCAGTTGTCCCAAATTAAACACATTGACCATTACTCATAGTTCTGGCTAGGTAGTACTCTGTAATCAAAGAGCAAAATTTTAACAGGAAAAAAAAATAAAATGCAGGAAAAGTAAGAGCAAGTAGAGTAATGACTATGGACAACCTTATGTCAATACAGATCAGGTTTTTCTACCAGGTGGAGTCAGTTCAAACTTTTCATCATCTAATGAATTTTTTTTTAACTTTCACTTTTGATAGTTTTTTTAATTTAGAGATGATTGGTTTAAAAAATATGATGCTGTATTATAGAATTTCAGTGGGATTTTTAATTGGACTTTCCTAGTCCCTACCAGTCCCAAGTTGTGGAAAATATAAACCAATCAAGCAGTAAAGGACAATTCAATACGTGATTTTCTGTAGAGTATTCATGTAGGTAATATAGGTAATTTATACTGGGGTGTTTTGTTCTAACTCATATATTTTCTCTAGTTTCAGTTATATAACAATATCTTGAGGATTCCCTCTATTTAATATTTGTTTGTTACAGCATCAGCAATTAATCAGTATTTTCTAATTTTTTGGCATAATCTATTCAAATATGATCCCTGTTGATCTTAGTATTTGTATTTTTATAATATTACATTTGAAAATGTATCCCTAAATAATAAATTTGGAGATATGCTTCAAGTACAGAAATAGTGTTCTTAGAATAATTATTGCTTTTTGTTTGTTTAGTTGGTTGGTTTTTTAAAAAACGTACACTAGACTTTGAGTTATTTCAGAATTTCCACAGCTTCTTCCTAATGGCTACTGATTTTATATTTATGTGTATTTGGCATAGTAGTGCTGTGTAACTCAGTGGTATCCCAATTCCCCAAACTGGCTTCTTGCCTTTGCTAAAATACTAAGCAGTCATCTGTGATCCAATTCCTTTAAAAGTGTACTGAGAGCAAATTTCCCAGAACAATTCATTTGTTACAGAGAATAGACTTGCTTTTTTTTTCTACCATGGTTATGCTGCATAACATTACCTTTTGCATTCCAGCTTAATGTAATCTTCCTTGGGATTGCTTTATATAAAATGTTTCATCATACTGCTATACTGAAACCAGAATCAGGCTGTCTTGATAACATCAAGTAAGTGATTTTAATTTTTGTTTTCTACAGATGACCTTACATTTGTACTATTATACTATCCTGCTTTTTCTTGCATTGAAATAATATGGCAAAATGATACTGAAGATCAATGTACTGTCTTTCCAGTATTTGACCATTTGTTTATTATTGGAGTGAACTGATATACCTGAAAATAAGTATAATGAAGTTATCTCTTCAAAAAGACACTTCTTCCCTCTAAACCCTAATTTAAAGTAGTATACATTTTTAATACCTATATTCACTTTGTCCTGAAAACAAGCAGAAAGCTTCTAGAACAGGGCAGACTGTGATTTTGTAGAGCAATAGTGCATTGTTTACCCTGGACTCCACATTCCCCATTAGGGCAAAGTGTCCAAGTCTAGATGGTGGTTCCTACAGGTATCAGAAGGGGAAACTTTACACCACGGGAGAAAACCCCTGAAATTATGAATCTGCTGTTTAAATAGGAGCGGTTATTTAGTTGTACCCCTCTCCTGAGGGAGGGAGAGAAGCCTCCCAAATGTAAACAAGTGAGATTGAGGACCCTAATCTGAAATGTTTGGGAACAGAAATGTTTCTTTCAGATTTTGAAGTTTCTCAAATTTTGGAATATTTTCATAGACTTCACTAGTTGAAAGTCCCTCATCTGAGTCAAAAACCTAAAGTACTCCAAAATCTGAAAATTTTTGAGCATCATGTTTGAATTTTGTAGCATTCAGATTTTGGATTTTCAAATAGGGATGCCCAACCTTTTCTTTGAAATATAAAGATCTGGCTTAGTGCTTTATCCTCTTTGAAATATTAATGCAACCTCCTAGAAGGTAACTCTCTCCAGAAGTTTCGTTCTGTTCAATCATCTTTTCATTTTCAAACTTTGTCCTTTACACTGAATTCCATTTTCTATGCTCAGAAAGTCCTAACCATGTAGAGATATGAAAATGTTTACCTTACTTTTTAACACTACTGAGAATTTGATTTACACAAAAAGTAGCTGGTTTACATTTTCTAAGAAAAAATAGTCGAATTCCTAGTATAGCAAAAAAATTCATCTTTGCTTAGAGTTCCCAACATTTGAGAAAGATAGTAATTTTGAGATGTGCATTAGCCATTTATCCTTGATATCATAAGTTCAAATTGCATTTCATATAATTTGCCTATATTGTGTATTAATTTAGATAAACATTTTCATTAAATGAATATCCTTTGAGAAGTTTTGTGAGATCAACTGTGACTTTTGTATACTATTGACATTATCCTTAAACAACTTCAGACAGCAGATATGTCACCCATTTTCCATCTTTCTACATTCACTTTCTGACATAGTTTCTGATCCGTAAAGCAGTTCCTCAATGAGTGTTTATAGAAAAGCATAATACACTAAATGTGTCAGTGACAAATTTATTGATATTAAGTGGAAAAATAAAAAATCATGGCATAAACTAGTATTTATCTACTAGGATTAGTAACCTTTGTAATTCCTAATTTTGGTTTGTTGAGATAATCATCATAATATTATTGAATTATGTGCAATTAAACTTTCTTTCTAAAATACAGTGTTAGTACCATACACTCACTGTTTCTACTGAATTTAGATAAGTTAAATAGCCACATAAAATATATTTTCTTTATTATGTCATACTTTTCTCAAATTGGTATAAATTACATTTTAAAAACAATAATTATCATTTGTTATTTTTTAAAGTACCATCAGAAAGAAGTTAATGAACTTTGATATTTATGTAACATATTCTGTCAGGTTAAAAATTAGAAAATTGGCTCATTTTTGACCTATTCTTCAAGTATTCTTTTTAGGAATTTCTTAACTTTTTGTCCAGTTTTGGAAAGGTAAAGACCTTAACTTACCCTGAACTTTAGAACTTGTGCTCTGTACGGACAAACATTTTAAAGGATTAATTTGTTCATCATTTATATGCATTTATTTGGGTAATGTGGGTTGATATTAATGTTTAAAAGAGCAGTCAAATACACAAAAGTCAATAATTACATTTAATGGTATTGGTGGCATCAAGCTTTATAGTATACAGCAAAATAAAACCTTAAATGAGAATATCTTGATTTGAATTCTAAATTATTTGCTTTTTTATAGCATCTGGAAAGTGTTTAACTTTGCTGAGTCTTCTTTTCATCTTCACAGTGGTACAATAATGAAAGTGAACTGATTATCAAATGAACAGAGGACTATAAAGAGGTTCTGATGATGCTTCTCAAAAATTTGACAAGGAGAGAAATCGGATAGTTGTTGGAGTATAGAGAATGGTTTTAGATGGAAGAAACATGAATAAGGGTATACTGATGAGAAAGAACCATTGAGGAAGGTTAAGAATATAAGCAAGGAAGTAATGGAATCACTGTAGTTATGACTTGAATTAATGTAGGGTATGCATCTAGAACCATGAAAGAGCATTTCTACTACAGCTGTGTTCTAGGAAGAACACTTCCACCAAATTAGGAGAGACTTCTTCCACTGAGAATGGACGAAATAAATAAAAATAGAAGTGGTACTGTGATAGAAAAGTGTAGGACTGTGAGTAACTTAAGGGATTTCTACCTACTTTCATCAAAAAAGTAAGAAAGATGGTCTTCTGCAGGTTAAGGGAAATTACTGAAGAGAGATTTGAAAGGCATGTCAAGAAAATATTCCTTAATATTTTCCAAACTCTGAAGGATAATTCATTTTCTTAAATACTTTTAATTAACGATTTAAGAATTGGTTGGAAAGAAATCAAAAGGATACAACCAAGAAGAAAATTAGTATTTAAGAATAAAAATAATTTTAAATATTAGACAAAACATAAAATCTATACTTTTTTTAACAAGAAAAATTATCTATATAAAATGTGTTTGGACATGATATGAGTGCTGTGTGAGTGTTTTAAAGATAAAGTTTTATTTTATCTGTAAATCTTTACTTTTTTATCATTTAGTAAACATGAAAGGGCATAAAAGTTTGTTTTCGTTATTTTTGGTTTTTATTTTTAGTTTTTTAAATGTATTTTTGTAAAGTGATGAACAACATGGACCACATGTTCAGTATATTGAAGAAAAAACTTCAAATATAAGGCCTTTGGGAAGTCTTTCTAAAATAATTCATTCATCAAATCTTTATTGCTCTTGATAGTTTCTCTCTATCTCTCTCTCCCTCTCTCTCTCTCTTTCTCACACACACACACACACACACACACACACACACACACACACACCTCCTTTATCTAAAATATTCTTGTTTCTCCTTATTTTTCTTGTTAGCATTTGCTTTAAGCTACTCTCTTCTTTGGCAACATCATGGCAATGGTCTAATTTCTCTACTCAGATTCTTGCTCCTGTTCTCACTAGCTAGAGAGATCTCTTGAAAACATTAAATCTAATCATGCAAGTATTTGGGGTAAATCTCCTCAAAGAGTCCCATTACTCTTAAAGTCCACAGTCCCAACGCAGCTTATTGAGCCTTCCTGATCTGGTACCCCTTTCTTCTCTACCTTCATTTTGTGCCATGGACCTTTGGCTGCTCTAGGTGTGCTCTCTTTTGCCCAAGTCTGATCTCTGCTGTTTCTCTATTGATGTTTTCTTCCCTGACACTGTGCATGACTGACTCCTGTTTAGCCAAAGTAATTTAAATATTATTTCATTATTTTCAAAAATAACATAATTATTCTTTTATTCTAAACTAACTTCAGGGACATCATAATAAATCCCTTTCATGTTAACAGAGAACATTTGTTTTGCTGACTCATTGCTATATTAATGATATACTCTCAAATAAAATAAACAATAGAGTGAAGTATGATAGTAACATGATTACAAAGGAAATAAAGTATACCAAATCTCAGGTTTATCTAAAAAAGTAATTAAATTGAATAACACATGTCCATTTGCTGACTGCTTACTTGTCATTTGTCTCTCTTCATCAGAATAAGTAATTATACTTAGGGGAAAGAGGTAATTCATTTGAATTTTTTAGTTGAGTTTCTCAAAGATTGAAATTGGAACTTTCAGTGGTTATAGCTGAAATCTAACCTAATTAAAAATAATGTATGTAAATATGAACAAAACAATTAATGAATTGTTGCCAGATGGAATTATAGTATGATGACATGTAAACCTTGAATTTATAAGAAGCTTCTAGAATACTTGATATTTACTTTTAAAAGTAGTTACTGTAATTACCCACATTTATTGTTAAAAATATTTAAAACATTTTTTCTTAACGGTACTGGGGTTTAATTCCACATCCTTATGCATGCCAGGGATGTGCACTACCACTGAGCTATATCCCTAGCCCTTTTATTTTATTTTGAAATAGGATCTTAAGCATCTGACTCACCTGGGTTTGAATTTCTTTTCCATCCTATGATGGTTGTATGACCTTGGCAAATTCTATCACACCCTCAGTCAGTTTCTACTCTGAATTGGGAATAAGTATATCCATTTTGTAGAGTTTTGTGACATTAAATGTCACACATAGGTAAAGCATTAATTTGGTACACATATAGGATGGTTTGCTTATTTTTAACCATTCCATTTGGAAATACTCTGCTCCCTTTATTTCTTTGTATTTTTCACAGTGAAGCTTTACTCACGCTCCCTTCAAAATCCCATTAGAATATGACTAGCTTTGTTTACCATATGGTGTCATTAAAAATTATGCATGATATGATGCCTTATCTTTTTAAGACAAACTTATCCTATTATGAAAGAATTGGCTCCAGGGGTGAAATGCTCATTTGATTAATAAATAGCAGGTTCTGTAGGCAGTTCTGAAAGGAAGCGGGGAAAAGCTTCCTCTGTGAGCTTGGACACCTGCCACACGTAAATAAATCTAAGAGGGCTTTTGAATAGCTTCAGGGACAAATAGAGAAATTTTAAGCCTTAACAATACCCATAACTTACTCTATTTATTAAGAAGGTAACCTTTACTTTGAGGACTGTGTTTCTAAATGTTGGTAGAAACAATTAAGTAGAAATAATTCAGCTCGATATAT